ACTTAATTGCTCAATAGACTCTTCCTGTATAAAGTGGGATTAATGATATTCCCTGCCTTTCAGAGCTGTTGTAAGGATTGAATAAGATAATGCACATAAAGTACTTAGCACGGTGCCTGGTACATTGTCCGAAGTCAGTTAACTCTTATTATTTTGCAAGCATCAGCATTATAAAGTTGAATCACTTCTCCAATATTGCCATCAATATGCTACATTAAGCTCAGCTTCTGTGTTTATTCAACATTCAACAAACAATGTTTCAGAGATGTCCATGTGTCTCTAAAGCATTTCTCCCGGCACAGTTGCTAATTTCCCGGGCAGTTTCTGTACCATACCCAGCTTTAAACTGCTGACAGGGAGAGACATCAACAACAAAGTCCACCAAGGCTCCCAGCTCCTCATTTAGGTACCTGAGGAGCTCCATGGGCTGAACAGAGTTAAGAATGTTATAAACCTCACTGATACACCAAGTAGAAGTTAAAAAATAAACAACAACAGCAAAACTAAGTAGAAGAGGATAGGGACCAAACGCTGAGAGCCAACATTAGCAGGCAGATCGATCAGATGATATAGCAGATAAGGGATACATAAAAAACCTGTCCTTCGTATTTCTTGAGGCAAGAACATTCACAAATATCATTATCCATCCTTGTGCCCCATAACAACTTTGCAAGTAATATTAATCTCATTTGACTGATGTGTAAAATAAGGCTCAGAGAAGTCAAATGAACAGCCCAAGGTCACTCTGCTAGTTAGTGGTAGGTCAGTGACCTGTCTTCTGACCCTTACGCAGTATCTCATACAAATAAATCGCATTTTATTTTTTTCCACAGAAGCATGTAAAATGCTTAATCTTACCCACTTTAAAAATAAAGAATAAGAAATATAAAATGTATCCAAAATACAAAATGCAAATAGACTTCAGTTCCATATAATTGACGTTTACTTTTTTTTGCACTAGTCGTGGCTGTAATTTTAAATTTGTTTATATAGTTACTCGATTAAGATCTGTCTCTGCCGCTACACTGAAACGGACCATGCCAATTTTTATCTAACACATTAGTAGGTGATCAATATATACTTGATGAAGGAATGAATGAATGATCCACTGGTGTTGATTATAGGCAGAAGGGAGGTCATGGGCTTGTAGGTGAATTCAGTCTTTGGTTTAGACAGGAGCAGAAATGCTAGCACTATCTTACACGGAGACACTGAGGATGGGAAAAGGATTTACTTTTTAGTTGCTAGAGAGGGTGAATTTGCCTGTACTGGACTTAGTGATGTGGGCTCAAGGACAGGGCTGATCTAAGCAGAGCAGATGCAGTTGCTAAGCAGTTGTTTACAGGGGAGTGAAAGGCAAGAGATTGTATCAATTCTACAAACAAGAATGGAGGGCAGTTTCTTAAGGTGTGGTCCTCAACCCAACTGCATATCTTGGCACTTTAAGAAGGCAGATTCCTGGACCCAGACCTTCAGAATCCCCAGGGGCTGGTGCCAACTCATCTGCATTTTTAACAAGTTCCCCAGGTAATTCTCACTTCCAAAGTTTCAGAACTGCTGGGCTGGAGTAACAACAGACCAGCAGAGGGTCTAAGGCCCTATCTAGGGAAAAGTCTGCATTATAAAGTGAGAAGAAGGGAAACCTACAAAAGAGACTGAAATAGGAGCCAGAGAGCCAGAGTCAGAGTGCTTGTTACTAACCAAGGAAGGTGAAAGTTTAAGAACAAGGAAGTGGCCCAAAGTGTCAAATGTAACAGAGACATCAAGAATGAAGATGGAGGGGCTGGCCCGGTGGTGCAGCAGTTAAGTTTGCACATTCCACTTCGGTCGGCCCAGGGTTTACCGGCTCGGATCCCGGGTGTGGACATGGCACCACTTGGCAGAAGCCATGCTGTGGTAGGCGTCCCACATAGAAAGTAAAGGAAGACGGGCACGGATGTTAGCTCAGGGCCAGTCTTCCTCAGCAAAAAGAGGAAGATTGGCAGCAGATGTTAGCTCAGGGCTAATCTTCCTCAAAAAAAAAAAAAAAGAATGAAGATGGAGAAAAGTCGTGAAGACGGAATCCGGATTTTTCTGGGCCTAGACCTGTCCTTCAAGACCAAACTCAAAACATTTCCTCCATAGGGATGTATTCCACATAGTCCATATTTGTGGTATGTAATTCTATTATAGCATTTCACCTACTGCACTGAAATTCTGTTTTTCTTTCTCATTAGAAATACTTGTTTTTTTCCTCATTAGACTGAGAATTCCTTGAAGGCAGGAATTGCATCTTGTTCCTGTTCAAATCGCCAGTGTCCGGGATAATACCTGGTATACAGAATATATCTGCAGATGCCAGCCAAATGAGCGATTGGAGAGCAATTGGAGGCAAAGAGCACAGTCTGGAGGTGCAGGTAGAGGAATCCTATGAGTTTGAAGGCAAACAAGAGCAGGGCAGTTGCTGCTGGAGCAGGGAATGAGGGAATCAGTTCCTCCAGAGCGCAGTAAAGATGTGATTAAAACCACAGCTTTAGCTTTAAAAAGCAGGAAGGACCATTCTTTCTCTGAGTCTTGAAGGAAGTAAGAGAGGATGGGAGTACAAAATAAAGTAGCTTAGCTCACATGGCCCTACTCTAAAAACGTCAAGAAGTTAAGGCCTTTGCTGAGAATGAGGTGCAAAAAGCAGGATCTGGAGCCGGAAGAAACCGACTGGAAGAGGACTGGTGGGAGTGTACTGGTGAATCAGTAAGAGATTAAGAAATGCTGTGCTATATCCTCAGGCATGGTTAAGAGCATGTTTTCACAGTCTGACTGCTTTCTGTAGTTCTTGAAATAACTGGCTGCATCTATCAGTCATGCTAATTGGAACTGGCTGCCAGACCTGGGGCCTGAAAACTAACCGGAGTCACTGATCTCTTCCTCTCCTGAACTCTCCCTGCACTTCCTTTCCACTTCTTACGGCACTCGCTGCAGTCCATCTCCTATCAGAGCTATTTGTCTTTTCCTTATCAGACTTTAAATAGCTAAGGCCAAAAGCTGTCTTATTCACTGTTGTGTTGTACCTTAGCATGGTGCTTTGTATATAATAAGCAGAGGATGTCTGTCCCGGGCACACACCTTTAATATAGCATTTATCACATCATACTCTATTTGTTTGCTTGTCTGTCTCCCTTTTCAGACCATGAGCTCAAGGTCAGGGATTGAGTTGATCTATGTCTCTCTTGTGTTTGGAACTTAGTAGTTTCACAGATGTTTACTGAATCAAATGTTGTTGAAATGAATGCATGGATGAGAGAATAAACAAAAGAGAGCAAAATGTGGGGATTTAGGGGGACATCTAAAGAGATGACATACTGCACAGGCACTACATTTTGTCACTTACACAATCATCAATCTCATCCTGACATCAGTAAGTGTGTAAAGCTGGTGGAAACTGATGCTGAGGGACCTGTTTGCAAATACGCTGTAAATGTTTGGCATACACATTTTGGCTCTTCTTATGTAAATCTCCAGCCACTCCCTTTCACGGTACAGGGCCTGTGTGAAAGGGCTAAGGGTCCAGTGGAGCTAAATGACTAGTTTGTCTACGCTTATTAGGTATCTGTTTGAATGGGATACAATGTTACATCGACATGGGCACTGTTTTCTTGAGGATTACAATTGAAGGTTGACATTGCAGGGAAAAATAAAAAGAATGATGAAACAGCACAGAAACAGCATTGGATCAAAACAATGGAAATCCCCCCCCCCCTTTACAGGAAAAGTAGCTACTTTAAGAGCATCTTTAAATTTTCATTGGTTTGTTAGGTTTTTTGTTTTGTTTTTTTAACCACTGGCTTGAAGTCTGTGAGCCCAGTAGAAAAATAACAAAAGCTGACCCTTATGGCTCAGACACTAAGTGCCTAACCATTAGTCTATGTGATTTAGATATATTAACTCATTTCTCTCAACCCTATGAGATGGATACCATTATGATCTCCATTTTGGACGTGCTGAAACAGAGGGACAGAGACGTAATGCAACGTGCTCAAGGTCATAGAGCTAGAAGTGGGGGAGCTGAGATTCAAACCCAAGCAGTCTGGCTCCACACATCAAAGAGGAAAGCGCTCGTTTAGGTGTCGGATTTACCTGGGTGAGTTATAAAGAAAATCAATTATCTTTTCTGATTATGATAATCTCAGCATTTATAGAGGGCCTGTTATATGCCAGGGACGCTAATACACGCTTTAGTTGCATATCTCATTTCTTCCTCACAATAAATCCGTGAAATACTATTTTTATCCCCATTTCAAAGACAAAAAAAAATTTAAGGTGCAGAGACTAGAATGATTCGCCCAAGGATTGAAATCCAGGCAGCCTGACTCCACTACGAGCTCAGTCTTTCCTGTCAGTAAAATGAGAGAACGGAGGACCTCAAAGGGATGCCACGAGAGTACAATGAAATAATGGATGTGCAAAGGCCTCGGTGAACAAGTGCAAGGGATAAGGCCTACCCGCTTGAATCACTGTTGAAAACTGGTTACCCAGGGCCCCTATCCAACGGTCTCTAGTTCCAACCCTGCCCCTTCGCCCAACCCACAGCGATATCTTTGAATCTCTTTCTCTATCTCCTCGGATCCTGCCCCCAAACACTTGGCTGAGCGGCAGACCGGAGAATAGAAGGTACCCGCGCGAGCAGGAGGCGGGGCCTGCCGCCCCGATCCGTACTGGGGGCGGCCTCCGGACATGCGCCGTGGCTCTGCGGCTTCAGCTGCCCTGTCGCTGCAGCCAATCAGGACCCGCGGCGCGCTCAGGACGTACAACGCTGTGTGAGTCGTTGCGTGCGAGGGGGGCGACGTAAGGGCGCTCGGCGAGCCCGTCTCTCCTCGAATGAAAGGAAACAACCTCCGGCGACAGAGCCCCGCTCCCAGGCGCTGCAGGAGAACCGAGACCGACTTCTTTCTCTTTCCCCTCATTGGCGCTTCTCTCCTGCCATTCGCTTCTGGGCCCCGCCGGTGAGTCCCCACGGTAGCCTGGGGCCCCGCGTTCTCTGCCCGGCGGGAGAAGACAAGGAGGATGGCGGTGGCCAGGCCGCCGCCCCTGCCCGTTGTTAAGGGGGACTCTTGGTGGTCTCGCTTTATTGTCAGAGACCCCAGAAGCGCCGCTCATTGAAGGCGCTTGGCAAAGAGGCTGCTGAGAAAAGTGCTTTGGAGGAGCTAAAGGAGAGGTTAGGCTTTAGCCTGGACTTCGGGGGAGGGGGCGCAACATTTAGGGAGGAAAAAATCCTGGGGATTTTTAGTCTTTGCCATTGCTTAGGACATATTTGGGAAGGAGGGAGACTCCCAGTTTGGGAAAAGTAAGAGGAAGAATTGTTAGGATGGCAAGAGGGTTAGCCTTATGGAATGAGGAAAAACTCCGGGGTGGGGGGAATTAGGGGTGAAACTGAGATATGAAACGAAGACTATTAGAGGGCGAACTCCTGGGGCACGAGGGTTAAAGAAAGTGGTAGGGTGATATTTTCCTGGATTCGGGAGGATTGGAAAAGGACAATTAGGGGACCCTGACTTTACGACCGAAAGGAACCAGCTAAAGTGTTTTAGAGAAGATAGTTCTGCGAGTTTAGCGCTTGATTAGAGGGAGATCTTGGAGTCTAGAGTGTACTGAGGAATAAATAACGGAGAGGATCTGGTACGTTATGTGTACCATCCTTTATTATATGGACGAACAGCACGGCATTCTTTTGAAATTTGTTCGTTTCGATATTCTGCGTGGAAGTTGAAAAAGCCTTTATTTTTGTAAAACCTTTTCTTTTCATCGGCTTACTACGTAATATCAGGTCTTATTCATACAGTTCAAATTCTTTCTCTACCCTTGGGTTTGAAACAACTGGAAAATTCCTTCAGTTTCCTTTTGAATAACCGCAAAAAGCAGTGCGAAGCATGTAATATTATCGTGCAACCAAATTCGGGTGCCCTTCCGGTTCATCTCTTATTCGTTTATTTCTCTCCACTGTAACTTTCCTGACAGAAATACTGCTTCTTTGGGGATCACGTTTATATATTTTGATCTGTATATTTCAACTTGGTTGCGTGTGGAATTGTTTGATCTTCCGGAACTGCAGTTTTTGTTTTGTTTTGTTTTGTTTTCCTGTGAAAAATGGTCTTTCAGATACCAGACATTGAATGAGCTCTCGGGTGGGTTCTTGAATGCTCTCCTTGATGTTTCAGGTTATTTCTACCTTGATGCTTACAGCATCTTGGAAAATCAGAAACGCATTGATCGCTTCAGCTTAACTAATCGAGCTTTTGTATTTTTTCAGACATGTAAATTATGTTTTTCACGCTATCTTTGCCTCTTTATTTCTGCTTTATAACATTGTGCATAATGTTATGTTTCTTTTAAGGAAAAGGTTTCATTGTTGGGTGAAAGCATCAAACTTTGATCTCTGCATGCCCCGAAAAACCTATTAGACTGCAATTAAAATGCCATATAGCTGTATGGATCATTATGAACCCCTTAATATTGGTCCTTGGAATGCCCTTATTCACCTTAACGAGAGACCACAAATGTGACAGCATTAGATAAAAATCTGTATTTTTATGATAAAGACATTTTTGCTAGGAGTCATTGTTTCCATGATGTTCTCACTTCATGTTTTACAAGGAGGCTGTAAAAAAATTAGCAAGATATGCACAGATGCATTATTTGAATTTTAGTGGAAAAATCCATTTAGTCATTACACATTGGGGAAAGTTTTTGATTCGTTTGGTGTACTTTTTTGTGTGTTTCTGTTCACTTTACAAATTATATTTAAACTTATTAACAAAAAATTAACACGAGAATATTTTTGAATGCAAAATAAACTGTACTTTTTTTCTCTTTTAGATTTTGGGGTCTTTGATACCCCGAAAAGAAGGTTCTCAAAATTAGGATGAGAAATTTACCTGTTTATCAATTGAAAAGAGGCAGAATTCAATATGGATAGAATTTTGAGGATACCATTTTCAGAATTAATTTCAAGAATAAAAAGTGATTTTCTACTCTAGGAGTTTTCTTTATCTTAAGCCAGTTTTATAGCCTATGCTAGGATTGTGCAGAAATTACACTATTAAAGATGTGTGTACAGTTAGATTCATAATGTGCCATCCTTTCAACTGGCCAAGGATGACCTGGAGAGATGCTGGACCCATTACAGTGGTTTCAGAGTGCCTCCTATTCATTGCATGGTAGTAAAGAAAGCTAATTTAGAACTCAAATAGCAAATTTTGGTGCTATTTATGAATCTTGGTGTTTTGCATAGTTAATTCTAAAGATTTTGGCAGCTATGTTCTTGATAAAGCAACTGAACACATATTTGCCTGAGCAAATGCAAACACACTTCCCCTTTTGTTTCTTTTGTTTCTCTGTTATGTCCTTTTTTCCCTTTAATCCTAAAAGTATTTGCTGCCTGTTTTCAATCAGTTTCACGGTTTGTAGCCAGTGCTATGAATACAGTACTGTTGTAAATTCTCCGATGCCATTTGGAAAACTGAGGTATTTAAAATTGTGGATAGCGTTAAGTTTGTTAAACCCATGAACGCAGAGACTGGTCAGGGCCTTTGAAGTTTCGTTGAAAAGAAAAACCTAGGTGTCAATTGATGAGAAGACCTATTTCTTTGTGGCTTCACGTTAAATTTTAATTATCTGCATTTTTATATTGGAAAGCACCGAATGGTTTGCGGCTACCACCTTGCTGGCATCCAGCTGTTGCTGTTCTGGTTGGTGAACAAGTGCTTCTCAGAAAGCTACAATGTAGTGTTAGTGTTTCCATTTTCTCAACATAGTGCTATGAAGATGTTCAAATATATGGAAAAATGGAAAGAATTTAATAAATTTTAAGATGAAAATTTGAGATGTTATTGATTGTAATATGTGTTGTGGCAACCTGGGTCCTGAACTGCATAGTTCTGTTGATTTGGGAAATCTACACAAATCAAATTCTACATTTGTTTAGATTCTTCTGCACAATCCATATTGAGAATGATGATCTAAATCTGAAACCTTCCGGGGTAGAGCTATTCTTCCCTTTTTTTGTTTGACTATGCTACCTATAATTATAATTTTACTAAATTTAAGGCTCACTCCGAAAAATTTTCCTTCCTTTATACAATATTACTAATTTAAGTATGAAAGTGACTGCTTTTAGAATACGACTCTCAGTTTGTAACTTTAGTTTAATAAGCAGAGTTTCGAAGTAAATCTGCGAGTCAGATAATATAGTTGTTTTTTTAAATAATTGATTCCTAAAGTATGCATTTTTGAATAGACTGTCATAAGCTTAATTTTTTCTTCACTTGAAAAAAGGAATACAATAGCAAAAATTAATTTATTAAATACATATACATAATGTTTTTAAACTTGAAAATAATTCAAGTTTTAAAAATGTGTTCCGAAGTAATGGTTAAGTAAATTCGTTTCTCTTTTGTTGGTTTATCAGTATGTGAACTTTAAGGAATTTTGCAATTATAGAATTTTGTTCATTCTGGATGTTGTGTAGTTCCCTTAGTAGTTTTTGCTCTGCCCTTAGGTATATAATTCTTTGTCTCCTTGAAGGGGTACTTATAATTAATGAAAAATATTTTTCACGTATAACTGTCAGCAGATGATTATTTTAATATCATACATTGTACATTTCTTATTTATCTACACAGAAATACTTCTGATTATTTTACATATCCCCTAATTTTGGAGCAGTTTGATTTTTCTCAGTTACTTCATTAACTTAGCTTTATGCATACATACATATTTTTTAATGGAGGCATCTTAGGTTTAAATATTAATTTGTCTATACTAAATGGCCATTTTAAAATGCATATATTAAAACATAGGTCAAATATTAACTTACATGACTATGTGTAAACTGGTTTTAAAACGAAATTAACCATTTTGTTGCCTTTCTTATTCTCTGTAGCATTTCTTGAGGCTTAAAGTGGCATTCTAAAGGCAATTTAAAAATCATGTCAAGCTCAGTTGAACAGAAAAAAGGGCCTACAAGACAGCGCAAATGTGGCTTTTGTAAGTCAAATAGAGACAAGGAATGTGGACAGTTGTTAATATCTGAAAACCAGAAGGTGGCAGCACACCATAAGTGCATGGTAAGTAAACGGGCAGCAGCCAAGAGACCTGAAGCCGCGAGACTCTTAACAATGAATATTCCTGAATACAAGAAAAACTCAGTTAAATTTTTAAGAAATGGTTTCTCTTTAGTGCTATGCCGTTTTTACTAGAAAATTTCCTTTTAAATTTAACATCTTACTCATTGTTTCACTGTAATTTTATATATGAACCTTAATTTTTTTTAAATGTAATTTATAGCTCTTTTCATCTGCTTTGGTATCATCACACTCTGATAACGAAAGTCTTGGTGGATTTTCTATTGAAGATGTCCAAAAGGAAATTAAAAGAGGCACGAAGCTGGTAAGTTGGTATTTCTGCCTCTTGAGAATAAAACATTTTAAGCTCATTAAGGAGGAAATTGCTTATTTTAGAGTGTATTGCATTATTAGCTGAGTATAGTTTTAAATTGCAGTCTTTTTTTTTCTGAACCAGCAAGTTCCAAGGCTGGGTTTAACTTATTTACCACTCAAGAAAAAAGGAGTGAATGGATATTTATATTATTCAAATTTTTTTCTTTTCAAAAAAAATTAAAATCTTTTTGGAGACCGTGTTGACTTAGAAAACAAGCAGTTTGCTTAATTTGAATGTAACGTGTGTTAAAAGTCTTCATTCAAGTATATTTTCATAATCAATTCTGATATGTTTTCATCTTCCATTCATAAAGTAATGGTGGTCATTATAAATGACGATGACAGTACCATTGCAATAGGAAAATGTTAGGACTTACTGAACAAAGTATTTTACTGTGGTTCAGCTGTATAACACAGCATTTGTGACTTTGGATACTTTTGGTGAGTTTTATAGTTTTTGTGAAGCTATGCTAGAGTAATATTCCTGTATTGTCTTCACTACCAGTAACCAGATTGGCAAGATACTATATTGCTCTATTGGAAAAGTGGTGTCATCTCAGTTGGTATTTATGATACATAATGGTTTACATTGAAGCGATGTCTTTTCATTTGGTTATTATATTTCTCCTTTGAGCTCTTTATTGAAGTTACATCTGTAACTGTAGCTTCACTAGCTTCACTATCAAGTGTTTCATCATTTTAAAGATGGATTTGACAGAACATGTATATATGTTCTTAATCACTGAGCAACTTCATATTTCACAACGAGTCTGATGGAAAGAGAGAGCTATCATTTTGATGATTAGGAGTAATCTATTTTGAAAAGTGGTCAGTCTTCTAGTATTAGAGAAAAAGCAGTATGAAGAAGTTCAGGGGTAACATTTAAGATTTGCTTTGGATAAATAGTCTCAAACCCTAGAATCAGTGTTGGCACAAGCGGGGATTCAGAGGTCAGACAGTTTTTGTTGTAGTGAGGGCTTAACTATGAAAATGTTTATCTTCCCCACCCCCAAAACTGCAGATAGCAATAGAACACTTCATTTTGGGTTTCTTATGTGATTTTTATTTGGTGGTTTTAGATTTCTTCATGTTATTGTGGCTTGCTGATTTTTGAGAACCAGAGTAGTATGTTTTTATTTCCTAGTCCTTAAAAACAAAGTCAGGTACAAAGAAAGAATACTGTTTACTTCCAAGTGGTACTGTAAACCTTATTACCCCATTATTTATCCCTTGGCATTATGAACATGCCTGGGAAATGCTTCTCCATCTTGATTTGTTAGCATTTTTGTCACTTGACATGGCTGCTCTAGTCAGCACAGGAGCAGTTTTGGTCCCTAATGTTACTGTATTATTAACAAATGCAATGCCTAGTTTTACATGAAGCAGCAGCATATGTCTGTCAGTATTGCCAAATTAGATGGAGATTTATATTTATTTGGACCTGTTTGTGAAGAAAGCATCAGAACTTTGTACGTTTCACTATTATAAATCATTCTGATGAGTTTTTAATGGGATAGTGTATGGAGTTATTTTTTTCCCCAAGTATAGTGAGTTACAAATAACTACACTTGTCCCTTGATCTACGGACTGGAACAATATTGGAGGTTAAGACCACAAGCCCACGAGCTATAGGAACAGACTTGGATTTGAGTCCCAGCTCTGTCACTGACTACCTGGGTGACCCTGAGCAAGTTATTTACTTCTCTATGCCATGTTCTCTTCACCTGCCAAAAGGAAATAATGATAGGACTTGCCTCACAGGGATATCGTGAGAATTAAAAGTGAGACCATACAGGACTTAACATGCTGCCTGGCTCGTGACTGGGACTTGATAAATGGTAGCCACCATTATAGTTATTATTTATAAATAATAATAAGGTCCTGCTAATATCATTGTAGTCTAATAAAAACCATGCTGGGCTGGGAAGTCATGAGGTCTGTTTTTTTAATAACTCTGCCACTGACACGTTATGTAACTTTAGACAAGTCATTAACTTATTTGTCTTTTTGCCAACGGTGAACAGATAATGCTGTATCACTCCTTACTAAACAGTGATGTTGCGTGACTAAAAAGTGCTTTGAAGATACAAAGAGTTATCTTAGGAAAGGTATTTCAAAGCCATTTTGAGGCTATGGGCATCTAGCTTTGAGGAATAGTGGCAGAAGGAGAGAACTTTTGAGCCTAGGTGTATAATTTTGCTCCTTTTCCTTCTCCCAAAATGTTAGAATTTAAATAACTTACATAGGGGACAGGACTAGAGTAGCATTTATGTGTTTAATTTTGAAATAATTTTTAAGTCTCCTTTTAGCCTTCAGTTTTGCTCCTTCCATTCTGGCATTTTTACGTGAAGTACTCTCAAGTAACCAAAATTCCAGATTTTAGTCTTCCTCTTTACTTTTCCCTGTGTAGATTTGTCTAAGCAATGAAAGGGTCATAGAACAAATAGGAAGAGAGGAAAAAAAATGAAGAGCTTCATGTGAGTAGATAGACTACATTCAAACTAGATAATCAGCTTCCCTAATTGACTTTTTAAGGCATTTTATCCTGTGAGCCTGTTTGCCCTGGCTCCTGCTCATCTAGATTTCTAGATGAAAAGTAGGTCATGAATACCCCTTGGAAATCATTGAAAACAGGAGTGCTGGTCCCTGGGTGCTTTCAAGACAGGTTCCAGTCTGTACTTGGTGTTGGCTCCAGAGGTGCTCACTTGCCCCAAAGAAAAGTATAGAGAGAAGAGACTGGAGCTTCAGGTGAAAGTGTATAGGTGGCCAGATGGGTCAGAGTCTTGCGAGGTTAGGAGGTCACAGTAGAACAGGAGGTACAGGTGTGTGGTTTCTGTGTTTTTGCTGCCATAGGCAATTTTACAAGGTTTTCGTGTCAGCCACCAGGATCAGGGGAGGAAAGCCATTTTGCATGAACATATTCATCTCTTTTATGTCACCTTTAAAGCACCACGGCGGACCAGGAAAAATTTGCCAGAGTACTAAGGTTTTTATAATTTGAGACTCTGTTTTTGCAGTTAAGACAGACATGTTTGTCCAGAATGGTTTCTGGTTCCTATTGAAGCCTTACGGAGACACCATGTCTGTCCCATCTACTCTTATTCTCCAGCCATCTAGTCAAGAAATGCAAATTTCCAAGTAATATTATGAGTTATCACTGCTGTTTTGGGGTTTTTTTTTTTAAGGAGACACTTGAGAGGGGTATATTTGAAGAACATAATCTTTCTGGATGAAGTTAGGTGGTGAGATCGTTAAGAGTATCTTCATTGGATAGTTACTGTTCTGACTGGTACCTGTGTCAGATATATCACAGACTTTAAGAACAGAAGGACTTCAGAAGGCCACTTAGTCCACCTTCCTTACCCCTAGGCAAGAGTACTACAAGCCATCCAACATGAGATTTTTGCCTGCCCTATTCTTAAATATGTCAAGAAATTGTGATTCTACCCAGGCAACCTGAAACAAGACCAGTTATATAACACTCTGCAGAATTGAGAAATTCATTCTTCCGTATAACTCAATTATCTCACTTAATTTAAAGCTATTTATTCTGTGTCTGTCTCCTTCCATTAAAGAAAGTATTGGGTTTTTTCTTTATTAAAAATGAGTAATCTTTCATATACTTGATGACTGTCCTCAGGTCACTTCTAAACTTTACCTTTTTCAAACTGAATTTTACTCAGATGTCTTAATAAATGCTCTGAACATTTTTTTCTGCTTTTTCCAATAGTAGAAATAGCTAACATTTGTTGAACACTTAATATGTGCTAGGGGCTGGGATAAGTACTGTAAATGCATGGTCCTTTTTAATCCTCACAGTCATGCTGTGAGATGGTAAGGAAGGTGTTCATCCTCACTTTACAGATGAGGAAACTGAGACTCAGTGACGTTAAGTAACCTGCGTGGTCATAGAGCTAGTAAGTAGCAGAGGTGGAATTTGAATCCAGGGCGTTAACTCCAAAGCCAGAACTCAACCACTAGGTTATACTAGACTGCCTTTTAAGCTGCCCAACCAAAAATCACATGTTAACACATATAATGATTAGAGCCTAGTAGTTTTCAAATAAGGATGGAAATAGTACTGAATTTAAAACATACTCAGACTCCTATTAATATATTCTGTTAATAGCATGTTAGTTTTTAGGACAAAAATCCTGTGCACATACTATGTAAGAATATTCTGATTCTGTTACCCTCAGGATATTTTTTTATAGCCTCTGAAAATAGAAAGACCAATTCTAAATAGTCTTTACTTTGTTATTTACTCAGTACCAGTAAAGTGCTTAGCACCTCTGAGAAACAGGGTGTCTGATTTTGAGGGTTTATGATCTAGATATTGGGCATGCCATGAATCTGCGTATATGACAGTTTATAGATACACTTTTTTTATTCTGTGTGGGGTGAGTCTTGCCTATTTAGGTCATTAAAACTGCTTCCTATAGATGGTAAGGTTTAAAAAAAAAGGAATGAGTCCGGGAAATGGGTTAACTATACCAGAATGGGTCGTTGAGACTGGCAGTGATGGATTAGAGTTAAGTGGGCTGATTGCAGGGTCTTTAAACGTTAGATAGGAATTTAGATAGGAATTTCAACTCGGAAAGGAGGGACTGGGGAAGGGCACAGCAGGAGACAAGTGATATATAGTAGTCATGGTAGAGAATGAAATGTCATAGTGGAAGCATATTTATCTGCTCTACATAGATGTCCTGCAGGCATCAAACTCAACCTGTCTCAACCAGTATTCATCATCTCCCCACCCTAAAACCCGATTCTCTTTCTGAATCCTTTACCTTCAGCTCTTTCTTCTTCCACATCAGCTGCATTGGTTCTGTCCTGGTCTGTCTCTGCCTTCTTTTCTTTCTTAATGCTATCCTAAATCCAGTCTTCCTTTTCCCATCCTTCCAACATACTGCTGGTAATTACTTGATCTCTACTTTTAAAACGTACTGT